TATTTAATACATTGTCATTTTAGTGTTTTACTGAAAACCCTCCCTACCCCCAAAGAAAATTCTGACTAATTACCTAGGTGTTACACCTGTAATGGTGATTAGTAGTGAAATTTAGTACATAGTAACTAATAGAACCTAATCATTCAATTGTAATCAATACCGTGAATTGACACAAGTAGGTATTAAAAATGTTTATTAACAGAAAGGATGTTTTTCTAAAGTATTCTGCACAATGATTACATAAAAATTCAAGACTATAAAACAACTTTTATATGAATTATTCTAACCATTGGACAGACAAATAATTGTAATCTTTCTAGTTATTCTACCATATATACATTTGCCCTTGTCAATTTCCCACGTGTAACCTTAATTATACACGTATGGATAATAGCCTGTATCTATCGTTTCCTGGTATTTCTAACACAAATTATAAAGACGGAGTAACCTTATTATTCTCTGAGTCAATGTATTACCAAACCCCGATCCTTTATACATTCATTGAATCGTGTATTACTTGCATCCCATTCAATATTAACATGTTTAAAATATACATATCCTGAATACAATTCATATTTGACTTTTATTATCTACATTATATCAATATGATTTATCAACAGAATAGATAAAAAAACTAAATAAAATATACATTTCATAAATACCAATCTCATTTAGTCATTAGGAAATCAACCAAAGACAATGAAAATTACTAGAAAAAAAAGGTATTTAATCATATCTAATCTACTTACTTGTTTTTAAATAGTTTGTTTAACATCACATGAATAAAAAGAAACCGACATTAACAGAAAGAACGAAAAAAAAAGAAAAATTGAGAGAGAGAACATTTCTTCTAACTCATATCAGAACACTGATTAATATCTATGAAAAATTTATTCACGGTTGAATTCAAATTTGTTATGTTTTATCTACACAGATTATGTTTTGTTTTCTCCTTCCTTTTTTTATGTTTCTATGAAAGTGAATATAATTTTTTTTTTGTTGTTGTGGAATTTAAATGAAATTTTTTTAAAAAAAAATAGACAATCAGAAAAGAAAAAAAATCGATGTCATTTGCAAGAGTACTTTTCATTCTGCACGAGTACTCAACAGAATAACTTAATGAATTAAATATTAATATTGATAATAGTGAAAACTTAAGTGTTGGAAATAATTTTTTAAAGAAAAAAATTAGTGACATTCGAAATGAACATTTCTTCGTCGTTGTTAACTTTTTGAAGTAATATACACTTTTACTACTATCTAGTAGTAAAATGTTGTATAGAAAAAATATTGAGATTTTCATATAATTATGAGGTGTTTTATAGTCATCTCAGATTGTAGCAAACGAGAACATTAGTGGGGGCAATCGAATGTATTTGAATACAAAATTACAGAATCTCTCAGTAAAATTTGAGAATCATACAATAAATACTTAATTTGCATAATATCAATCGATTGTCTCATACTTGACTGTTCCTTTTGCAAATACCAATTAATCGTCTTAGAGTTTATTGCTCCTGCATTTTCATACCAATTGCTTTTCGTTTTCTCCTTCTCAATCTTCTATTGAAATATATTCTAATCCTGACTATCGTTATATAATACTTATGTGGATATAAGTAGCTCACATCACAAGATGTCTAATTAAGAAATATCCAAATGAAATACTATCAAATGAACTGGGACATATGACTGATTTATTAAGATTTCGCTTAGGTTACTGGATAAATCAGTTTTATATATACATATAACCTTTTCTTTTGTCATTAGTTGGATTTTTACGATCTGTCTTTCTAAATGATTAGCTGAGAAACTAATTGCTAAGTATCTTTGTATTATACAAGAACATAAATTCTAGGCTAATGTTGGATCTTTTAAGTAAGATAAGCAAGGCTAGGTGAAGAGTATATGAACCTTCATAATAAAAGACTAACAGTTAATAAATGTATTTAACTCTGTGCTTCTACCATTTAACAGGCAAGAGATTATATCTTTCTGTTAAGAATGAGATTTAAAGGGTAAAAATAATGTCCAGTGTTATTAATTTATGCGAATATTCCAGAATTAACTAAGTCTTCATCAAACTGTAACGCTATTATCTATTGTATTGAATAACTAAAGTTTAAAACGTCCAAACAACATTCATTTACTTAATCCTCAAAACGAAAAATTTCATTGGGATGTTTTAGACAATTATTTTGATACGTTCAGTAAAAGATATGTTGGGATGCTGGAAAATGTTAGTATACAATTCATTCGAAGATTTGAGCATACTCGTCTAGACAGTTTTGGGTAACCTAATAAAGCACCATCTAAAAACACGATGAACTTAGCTTTAAAAGGATTAAAAAATTGTGGATATTTCATCTAATGTATGTTTAAACTATGAATTTGTTTAGGTAAGTTATGATAGAATGCTGATCAACTGATAACAAAAATAAAGTATGATGGTTCTTCGACAGAACGAATTTATTGATTTATTAAAATCAATGATATTTTCCGTTATAAAGCAACAGTTTAAAGTAAATAAATTTGCATAATGAAAGACTAACAACGATAAATTTGATTCCTTTGTTCTCAGCGGTCATACATTAAGTATAGTATGTATAGTGTGAGTGACTTGTAGAAATTGGTATCCAACGAAGACTAGTTTTTAAACCACTGTTGCCCTTGGTTATTTTCCAGTTTATAACTGATTAAACTGATAATAAATTCTAATACACAAAATAACAAAACATCCTGGAGCTAATCTCAACTGGTTATTAACTGGTCGATTATAAACGGAAATTGCGGTGGTTCGATTGTTAAGACATGTTATTTGGAAATTACAAAGATTGTATATGTAAAGTATACCTGTAACCTTTATTAATCTCTCAAGTCTGTGACTGAACTTTATAGCAAGGATCAAAAACATTGGGGTGCCTATTTTGAAGCAACTGTAATTCGTATATTAACTCAAACGTTTAGTACGTTAAAAATGACTTTTTGATGTCAACCAATCATCGTTTTAAATGACAAGATTTGTGTAGATAATATTTTCAGCCATTTGTAGTGTGAACAGGTATAACATTTACATGTCTAGATAAACTACATATCGAAGTTGATGGTCGGTTTAACACGATAAACTAGTTTGTGAATTTTAACAACTATTTATTGTAGGCATTAAAGTAGGCTAATTCGATTCACACTGAGATAACTTTATTTAGTATATTTAGATTGGCTACACACAAAGGCCTGTTCAAACATCTGGAAAACCATTTATGAAGTCAGTTGCAAAGTAGAACCTGGTACGTATGTACATTGGTTCAAGTTTCCATACTTCATTAGCACAGAGATGAGATTGTCAGGCGGAAACCCAGAATGATAGAGGTAGTAACAGTATGAATGGTGATAGAAAAGGTTAGTCATTGAAGATACGATTCCAGAAAATATAAATTAGTGAAATAAAAACAAAGACAAAGTTATGGGTTACTGAGAAGCTTGGAATCTGTGGAAACCACTTATCCGAACGTTCATCTGTTATAAATTTCCCTGTTTACGATTCGTTTCAACTGCATTTACTTCGGCGCTTCCACTGTAAATCCGATAATTGACAAATCTAAGAAGTAATACTAAAGTAGTCTGTATATTTCCCCCCTCATCCTCTGTCCTTTAGAAAAGTGATAACCATAGAGTTTATACATCAAATACATACGGAAATGGAAGTAAAAATGATCACTAACATTTACAAATAAATGTGACTGGGAGATAATAACTACTTACAAAGTTATATGTATTTTGCTGAATATTAATAAGTTGAATGATGACAAGACGTGGATTGTGTCACAATTTTATATTGAGAATTGTTTACTGTAATCAAAAATATGATATTGAATACAATGAGCATTGTTATTATTACGTTGTTGTTGTATATTTTAATGACAATAGTACCTATGGTTTCCCTAAATTTCCATGTACAGACGTTTATGTATATGACTATTCGGATCTGGTAAGTGAGAAATGTACTGGGTTTTTATTACACTATTTACAACAATATTTTCTCTATAGCTTCAATAAAAAGCCATATGAATATTTAAGGGTCAGGTAGAGTTATGCCTACCTTGACTAATTTCCTGCAGTTTAATTCTATACATTTGGTAGATGATGAATATACACTGATCAACTGTAAACAACTCAGTGAGATACATTCTTCTACATTTATCCTCTCATAGTCTAACTGGTTTCTTATAAGTGATTACTAGTTTTCCTTAGACGTTAAAAATATCATTCTTTAATATGACTGGTTAATAGTCAGTCAGCTACAAAGTAAGACAAGGCATATGTATGCATCGGTTCAGGTTGCTACACCTCAATAGCACAACAAGGTGATGACTGTTTAATAAATGCTAAACAATTAAAAACAACCGAGAAAATAAATGTTACTCAAAATTTGGTATATGTGGATAAATAAGCATAAGAATAGGTTATCATCTTATTATGATCATTCTTTGTACAAGGCAAAATTGTCTAACAATTTTCGCTAATCAACATAACCAAACTTATAGGGAAAAGGTATACGCAAAAAAAAAAAAAAGAAAAACAGACTAATCAATTAAGAATAATTTGTCAGTGAACTATTTTTCAACGTGAGAATTAATTTCATTTGAGAAAACATAATAAATCTTATGTAAACTATTACAGTAAATATACAGTACAGAAACTATTCGTGAAATAGATTGACACCTCATAAGCACATATATATATTGCGTAACCAGAAGAACAGATATGCTCTTTGTAGATACAATTAAAACCATTTACAAAAAGTGACCTAAAAAGGGAAACTAGAACGAATTCATGTACAAGTTAGATAAAGAAATACGGAAAAAAGATAATGACTAAATACAGATCATGTACAAAAAAAAAACAAAAAGAAAAACTTCGAAAGTTTATATAAATAGTAAGATTAAATGTTACATATAAATAGAGATATTATTATTATTAATTTGAAATTTCATTTTGTTCTAAAATAAAAAAGTACTACTTGATCTGGTACTTGAAATGTTTATTTGACCAGAATTGGCTACTGATGACGTTGTAGCTGTGATTGTTGAACCACTAGTACTCGATACAGAAGAAATAAGTGTTGAATTTGGTAAATTTCTTATTATTGATTGAGAAATACTATTACTGCCAGTACTATTATTGCTACTACTACTATTATTATTGTTGTTAATATTATGGAAATATTGATTCGTTGTAGAAATAGGTAAACCAGGTGGAAATATTGAATCAGTCATAGATAATCCAAGTGAATCATCATTAATTATACTGTTATTACAACTTGTACCAATAGTATTATTATTCATATGACCAACACCACGATTTGTAGTACTACAATTACTAATAAATGATGTATTATTCAAATTAAAATGTGGATTAACTAGACGTACAACACCAACTCCACCACCTAAACGTCTAGAATTCATACTACCTCGTACAGACCAACAATTTGCATCTGGATCATAGAGTTCTACAGATTTTAAATAAGTAGCACCATCGAATCCACCGATTGCAATTAACTGATTATTAACTACAGCTAATCCAACCTTATTTGTAAATAAAATAAGAAGAAAAATAATTATATTGACTGTAATGACAAGACTTAGACAATTAAAACCAATGAATAATTATACTTAAATAATATTGATATTTGGTGTTACATCTAGAAGGTTGTTCTTGATATACCGCGTATAAGGTGAGCACTAGAACTCCAGAACCCTTCCAAGTCGCAATGAGAAAACAGAAGACTAGTGGAGGGAATATTATTCCTAGACAGTGTCAATTATAGTACAAAATTGTCAGGTATTTATAGTTTTTAGTAAACACAAAATCACCATTACAGTCCACCAATCAGCATACAGGGGGTTATTAGCATTGTCCAATCGGGAAGCTACACGTAGGAATTCTAGAACACTCTTCCAAAAGGCAATTGGATGGAATATCTCCGGCTCCTTCTGAGCCTCCTACAGCTTCCTCGAGTTCACGCGTGGTCTGTCGTCACATTTGGTTAAAATTAATTCATACAAAACAAGCTTTCCAAAAGAAATAAATTCTTTTTTTATTTATGTACAAAGCCCACTGAAATAACATTAGATATTAATATTTTCAATTAAAATTCATAAATTTCATTCCTATTATTAATTGTACTAGTTGTTTGAATTTTCCTATTGATGTTTAAAACTTAAATTGACCAATTTCCTATTGGCATATGTACATTGTATCGGGCTTGCCATTAATTCACAAGAATTTTTAGCAGAGATAAATGATAGCTAACAGTGAAATTGGAGACGTGTGTCTTTTTCTATTATTACTAATATCACTACTAGAGAAAACATTCTGTCATAATCTTTCGCCGTGTAATTATGTTTTCATTCTCAATCATCTGAAGGTTTATTTACTAATACATTTAATACATTTTACGCCGTGTCAGTTAATGGGGTTAAAAACCTCTATTAAGTTGGTTGAGAGATGCGTTACACATCTCCAACTGTAGCTTACCCTGAATTAGAATGCTGAAATAAGTAGATTTGATAACAGATCAAGGGAGGACAAATCAAAATATGATATCAATTCACCAAGACACTGAACAGTAGTCAGAGCTATATCGGGGGATACGGGCTTCTGGACCAGGATGTTCACAATACTCGAAGTAAATGGCTGGAAACTTTTGGTGACATGGAGCAAAATAAGTTGCAATAACGTATCTGTATTCAACCTCCACCTTCCTCAAAATCTTGAGTTATTCATATATTTAAGCATATAAACATTGGTATAAACGGGCACCAAAATACATATACGACACACGCAACAGTTATTATTAGATCTGGAGATGTTCTTTGACTTTTTTCTCATAGTCTGATTTGTTCATAATGAAAGTCGTGTTCCCCTTATCTGCTCTCGTAATGATAATTGTCTTATAATTTATTAGCTGTTCTATTGCATATAATTCATCTTTAGTTAGATTAGAAGCGTGTAGTTTTTGATATAACAAGGTGGTCGCTAATTAATACCTCACATCACTCGCTTTTTCATTAGAAAGGAAATTTGAAGCCGGTTGAATTGCAGTTATAATATTTAAAGGTGATAATAGTTATCAATTCATATTTATGTTAATACCCTTTTTAAGTAAAAATATTTCGTGGATACTTATATTTCAATCTGATAAATAAACAATCAATTTGTTTTGATGTGAGGAAGTAATTAGCGACCACCTTGTTATATCAAAAACTACACACTTCTAATCTAACTAAAGATGAATTATATGCAATAGAACAGCTAATAAATTATGAGACAATTATCATTACGAGAGCAGATAAGGGGAACACGACTTTCATTATGAACAAATCAGACTATGAGGAAAAGGTCAGAAAACACCTCCCGTATGAACTAATTAAAGAAGCGAAACGATGGAGTAAATTAGAGTGTATATTGAAAGAATGGAAGGACATCGTGGTCATTTCATACCGTAAAGAAACATCGGAAGGAATTAGGAGGATTCCAAACAAACATAAGAGTGCATTTTTGGGCTAGTGATACCATAAGATCGCTATTAGTGAAAGTGAAGGATAGGTTTCCAAAGAAAGAACAGCAGAATGTTGTCTATGAGACTAATTGTCATGATTGTAATGGAGCTTATGTGAGAGAAACATCTAGGAAGTTGAATGTGAAGTTGAAGGAACACAATGTTTGGAACATGTTCCCAAATCCTCGGTTGATCTAAAGAAACTTGAGAATGGGTCGGCGATAGCCTTATATGCGTTAGAAACAGGACGCAAGATCAACTTTGAAGAGACCAAAATACTTCAGGAAGTGTTTGGCACGAATGAAGGAAGATTATCACCAGAAGCCTTGTATATACGGACTATTCAGAACAATCTGAACAGAAAAGATGGTATTCAACCAGTCACCTCTTGCCAAATGACCATTACCAAGTAATTGAACCCTATCTCTCTATCCAACCTGTTTATTTCACAGGCACCGTCGTTCTGATAGACATTAATTTTAATGTTTTATTAAATCAGCTATACATTTAATGGTTCTCCTTTTACATACACATGAACGTATCAAAAAAACATTTTCAATTTGCACGTTTATTTGAATTTCTAATAAAAACAAGTTAACATCTAATATCAACTATTAATAACTTAAAGTCACACACACACAAAACTACTCACTGATTTATTTTTACATTGTGAACTTTTCATATGATTCACATCTAACCGACTCATGTTATCCTACTTACTAAAGTCAATATCTGAATATAATTGGATAAGCACTTATCATAGATTTGATTTGATTGTCAAACATTATACATTCTTTGATTCTGCTAGTTACCTTGAAGAAGTCCAGAGAAGTTTGCTGGACGATATGCTGAGATTATTTAAACTTCATTCGGTCAAATTACTTCAAATACAATTTTCGAAATAATATCTCCTCTATAATCGGCACTTAATTTCTTTCAAACATTTCGTTCAAATTATCACGATTAGCATAAGTTATTTAGCAAGAATACGCCATTTTTTCTATCACGATTTTGCAGTCCATGTGCACCATTGGTTTAGAATCATAGTTTACCAACTTGTCTAAGTGAATCCTTTGTAAACGCTAATCCAGTTAAAGCCATGGCATTAGCTTTTCATCATCTCGATTTCGTAAACAACAACCCGGCCGAGAGAAAACAGTGAGTAGAACTTCTTTGCCAGTGGTCATATACGCGTGGCTACATGAGGGCGTTTCTAGAGGAAGAGCAAACTCTTTTATAGTAATTGAATACATTATATAAGAGTTGTTACTTGATTGTTATGAAAAAATAAAAGTTCCTTACAGCGCTTAATTCTTTTTAGAAATATGACTTACTCCACTACGTCGTGATGTCATCGCTACAACAGGAGTCCAAGTACGACTACGTAGATCTAAGCATTCTACAGACGATAATTCTGTAACCTCATCTCTTCCACCCACAGCGTATATCAAACCATTATAGACAGCCACACCTAAGTGTTTACGTTTAGTTCCCATACAGGATATTTGGTGCCATGTACCAACACGAGGATCAAAATGTTCCACAGAGGATAAAGGTTGTTGACCATCTGAACCACCAACAGCATACAACTGACCATTCAAAACTGCAACACCGACACCTAAACGACGAGTAATCATACTGGACACCTTAGAAAGAAAAAACAAAGATATATTACGTCACTCATACACCGTCATAATAGAGGTACTGTCTCAACATATATTAGTAACTGATATAAATAGGTTTATATAGTTGGACTAATTAAATCAATAAGAAATTATATTTATATTCTGAACAGTTCATTTTAGTCCATAAAATGTTTAATCAGTTTCCACAGTAAATTGATAATATATAATGTTTAGAGTAGTATATCAGAGTATTAGAAAAAAGAACACGGAATTGAGAATTTTCACTGAATAATTGAATTCTGAATATGGGCTTTATTGATATACACTTGAGCTTTTAGAAAGAATGAACAGTAAGAAAATACAAATTACAAAGTGATTATGAAATGATCCTGTATCACATCACAGTTATCCTTGAATATATGCAACAATTTTTTTACTTGAGAAGATATAAAAACTGGAGTGAAAAGCTTGATTCGGAAACTTGTAAATATTATTACCAAGGTTTGATTTGATATTTTCAAATAAATTCAACATTAAGTGGATTAGTTGAAGGGATTTTGTGGGGATCGATTTGATTTTTAAGTTTTATTTAGCACAGATGGATTTGTCGAATGCCCTGGTACGATAGAGAGTGGGGAGAGTCAGCTCTTCCTCTGGAAATGCTCTACCCTTGGCCACGCATATACAGCCTCTGCCAAGGAAGTTCCATTCACTGCCTTTTCATGGCGAGGGTGTTGTTTACGAAATTGAGAGGACGAACAGTGAATTTTCAGCGCTTTAACTGGGCTGATGGATATGAAGAATCCATCTAGAGGAGTTGGAAAACCCTGATTACAAACGAGTGCTGCACATGGGCTCCAGGATCCTGAGGAAATAAATGGCGTATGAACCGATTATTGGTAACCGGCTACAAAGGGACTGCATCTCCTGACGTTGCTCCACTGCCTTGTGAATCAGACCTTCAGGTCGAAGGCTCCAATTGTGGCACCCTAAGAAAAGCAAATGCTTCAGTTTGGGCAGTCGGGCAGTATCATAGCCCACACACAACTCAAGTGACTTGTGTGGCGCATACGTATACGGTGCCCATTTGTACCAATATTTATGTGTTCAAATAAATAATAAATAAACCATTGGAAACCAGAGGGTACTGGGAAACCTTCCCGCACTAGTATGGGACTCCAGATGTTCTAGTAAAAAGTAGTAACACGTGAAGTTCAAATATGTTAAGAATAAAGCAGTTTTCATCAATGGCATCAGATTATCGTTACCATATATCGCACATTGGAAGGATCCTTTGTAATTAAACAATGATACATTCGTAATATTTCGACATTTCGCGACTTAGAACATTACAAATATATTATTATCAAAATGGGAGTTTGTGGAGACTGTAGTAATTTTAATAGTTGAATCCATAAGTCAATTGAAACTAGGCCACTATTGAAAACCTGGAAGCACTGGATGACCATTTCGTCTCAGTACGGGACTCTTCAGCAGTGCGCATCCACGATCCCATGTGCAAGACTCGAATCCAGGACTTCCAGTCTCGCGTGGGAACGCTTACACTCTAGACCACTGAGCTGACCGGTATCCAAACGTGTTAATGTCTGACTTCACGAATTCAGCTATTAAAATATATTATTGTCACTGATTATTACCACTATCCTGAAATCACTATAACGGCTCCATGGACTCAGTAAAGTTCTGAAACAACCGAGCTTATCAAAGTGTTCACCGAATACATGCTAAAAACTGGAACCACTGGTTAACTGACTACAGAATATATATAGGTATTACATTCAGCCTGAATGGAATTACCATGACCTATTTGTCAATTAACATGTGAGTAGTCAAGAATGAAAATGAATGTGACAAAACAACGAGTGACTATTCACTTTTGCCCGTCGTAACAAAAGTTTAGGTATTAAGTCCAATGATAAGAATATTTTTAATAAGGCCGAAACGACGGGGAGATTAGAATTTTAAATGCAATGAATGATCTTGAACTACTTTCCTAGCTTTTTCCACAGCAACCTACTCTTCCTTAAACATAAGTACCGCTACGTCCCGAGGTTAACTGATTGAGATACATATACACTAGCCTCCTATACGTTTCCCTAACCGGTTATGAAGGTGAGAAGGCTGAAGACTGACTAGGAACCCACAATTAGCAAACCGACTAATGTGTACACGAATCAGGAGTATACATATACTTGTCCTTCTGACTCACCCAATAACATATAAGCTGAAACCTTGACTACATGTACATCAGCTATCCGCCAGCAACATGTCTCGCTTATTATCTCTTAATGGCGTTTAACCTTGAAACGGTTTGTGAACACAGGCACATGATATGTCTAGATCAACCCAGACTAACAAATAAACATAAACTCACTAGTCAATGAAAAGATGGAGTTAACATTAGTACTGAGTCGTTAGAAGTCAAATGTTCACGTCTAAAGTGTATATACAAACTATGGATATATGTGTTAAACAAGTGAAAAAGTGTATGTCGTAGTCACAAAGAGACCTTAAAAATTAATAAACGCATGTAGTACATTATATGTACATAAGGTAGAATTAAATATGTGGAATAAGTTACCTTGAGCCATTTATTTACATTTGGATCATAGCATTCAACAAAATTCAAACAAGACACACCATCTTGTCCTCCAACAGCATACATAGAACCATTTAATACAGCTACACCAACACTTGTACGACACGTACTAGTTGAAGCAATATCTGATGACCATTGATTTGTATGTGGATCGTATCTAAATTAAACAATATTAGAAATATCCACAACTTGAAATACAGAATAGGGTTGCTGTGTTCGAAAAGTTGTATAGAATATGACTGTGATACTAATAAAAGTCACTTAAAATTTCAATGTCATCCAGTTCGGGGCTGTTCAGTTACTACTTCATTAATAAAGTAATTTCACGTAATGTAAGCATACTGAAAAAATTTCGGGGTATCCATTTATTGATATGAATATAAAAAATGAACAATTTATTTTAATAACTGAGGTCATTAGTCAACTGAAGCTAAATCACCATGGAAAACCTGGGAGCAATAGATGACCCTTTTATCTTAGTATAGGACTCCTCAACAGTGCTCATCCAAGATCAAAACTCGCGAGATTCCAAACCAGAATCTAACCTCTAGATCACTGAGCCGGCATCCAACGGTGTTAATGTCTAACTTCAACTAATCCACGAAATTGAGCGACACATCCACCATTGTCTTCAGTGAGTTACTATCTCACAATAGACCCGGTTGAACTCCACTGGTTAGTGATTCTCACTAGAACTCCAGGAAATACCTCTTGAAGCCAGTCACTGGTGGGCATAAGTTGATTAATATCAGAAGGGGTTTTTGTGAATATTATGGTCATTTTAATAGTTGAGATCATGAGTCAATTGAGGTTAGACCACTATGGAAAACTTGGAAGCACTGCCGAGGAGTCCCACAATAGGAAGAAACGGCTGTACAGTGCTCCCAGGTTTCCAATGGAGGTCTAGCCTAAAATGACTCACGATCTCAACTATTAAAATTACTATAATATCCACAAAAACCCCTCCTGATACTAAAAAGAATTTATTGACAATTCCAAAGACAGGGAACATTGTGGGTAACCTTTGGAACTAATCAAAAAGATGATGAGTAAGTTATTGAGAAAAGCTCATTGATCAACTGATATGAAACGTGCCTTAAACTAAGCAACAATATAGTGTTGTATGCTGTAATGAGTTAGGTTAATGATACAAAGATTAATAATTAGATATGCAGCTAAGAAATAGCCAGCAAAAATTTGTCATCCATTTTATTTACGGCTGAAAATTAGACTACTCACCAGTAGTCTAAAAATGCAGTAAATTATTAATCCAAGCGTCAGAAATTTCTGATCTTAATGTCTGAGTTATTAATGAAAACAATGTTGGTTGAATATTTTCAGATTACACACTACCTGAATGTTAGGCACATAGATCACAGCAGCTTCAAAGCCCTCCGTTAACGTTATAAATAAAATTTAACAAAATAATAAACTTTTTTACGAAGAAATAATTAGATGTAATATAATTATTGAGTGATCTTTTCATAGACAATAAAACTAGAATAGTTTATTGATGAATTTTACAATTTTATGTCGACAGCCAGAATATTACACTTAAATAACTTCACCTAATTCAGAATTAAAAAACATATGAATGATTACTTTGAAAATACAGATCTATTCCTTAAAATTTACGTTTTGAAGAACAATACACATTAATTCATTTTATTCTGCATCAAGTGTTATTCTTGTTTTATTTTTTTTCTAAACAGATGCTGTTAGTGAAGAAATTAAAATACTGCTTTAAAACATAACGAATATTAAATAACAACACAGATTACCTTTCAACAGAATTCAAATAACTATGTCCATCATGTCCTCCAACAGCATAAAGAAGATCATAGACAACTCCAACACCTACGCCACAACGTCTTTTATGCATTGGAGCTACAAGATGCCATTTATGTGTACGTGGATCATAATGTTCAGCTGAAGCGATCGCATCTCCTGAACACCATCCACCAATTGCAAATAATAATTCACCTCCTTGTAAAATTTTTCTAGGTTTAGTACGTGGACCTTGCATTAGTGGACGTTCTTGAGGTAATAATAAATAATCTTTAGCTTCATCAACTAAATCACGACAACGTTCATCTGAGCGTACTAATAAATCTGTACTAACGGTACCAACTAAAAATTTCGGACTAAGAAGAGGTAATCGTACATGTTCTAGTAAATAAGATAAATAGGGACGACGATCAGATAAATTATGATGCATCCAACGCATTACAGAATAATAAACTTGTTCTTCTGAATTAATGTTTAAATCATCGGAACTTAAAATATCTACAAGATGACTAACAGGCAATAGAAGAAATTCTTCAGATTCTACAACTTCCTAAAATTATAAAGAAAAAGAAGCGAAAATAACCAACAGTTCAAGATCAAAATTTCAAGAGCATTTTTTTCTAAAAATCTGAAAAGCAAACAAAACGGAAACTCATTTAGGTGTTCGGTATACAAAAAAGTGAAATACTTTAATAGATTCGATAAGTTTATTTGCTAGAAGTAGGGATATTCAGTTTACATATAAGAATTTAAAAACTATGATAAATTAACTTGTTTAGCAAGTAATTTTAGATACAAATTCAAAATGGATATTCGGTCAACCATTTTGAAACATGAATATATTCCTAATAGATATAAGTCCATATGGAATTAATCTCTTTTAGTAGTGTGTTTTGTATACAGCAACCATAAACATTCAAAGAATGTAGCGACTTCAATTTATCTTATGATCAAATCATTTTCACAGTTGTATGCACGAGTCAACCTAAGCTAGACCACCATTAAAAACTTGGAAGCACTGGACAGCCGTTTTGTCCTAGTATGAGACACCTCAGCAATGCTCATCTACTAGTGAATCCAACCATGAAAATACTACAATCTCCACAAATCCCCATACTAATAAATCATTTTGTGTTTATCCCCCGTGAAACAAAAAAATGGTTCCAACACATCCAATCAATATGATTTATACTGATTAATTACTATTATCTCGTCTAGATAACTTACAATCGTATGATCACTTTAAGTGCATTCTACTTTGTCAATATGCCAATCATTTCGAACTTGTTTAAGAGTATTCTACATAATAGTTTAAAATATAATTAAAACTTAATTGTTGTATAAAGAGAGAATTTATCATCTGTTTAGTGTGTAAAAGGTGATAGTCTACTAATCAGAATAATCAGAGTTTTCATGAAAGCACACAAATACAAATTAAAACTTTATGTTTGACAACCCAATCTAAAATAAACCAAAACCATGCTTATATCGACCTCAGATTTTTTGTAAGTTTTTAGTGGCAAGCATTTAGAATGAATCAGAAGGATAGTTTCAATAGTTTTTTTTAATGAACACATTCACAAGAATTTGTATCATTGTAATGCCTGAACATCTTGTACATATAGAGAACTCAATTATCGTTTTGGTATGAATTGAAATTGAAAATTGCACAGAGAAAAGTGAAATTATCTCATTGTGAAGCAGTAATAAATTCTCTTATTTCTTTCTGGAATTATTGATTACAGTCTAATAAGTTAATCTTCATCATCATCATCATCATCATCTTAATTTATCATTCATGTATTAAAAATAATGCATTAGTTAGAATTATTGACTATTTTTTAGCAAATTTTCTTTTTTTTTATCCACAACTTAAAAATAATCCATAATAAATATATTTTAATTCTATCCCAAACAATAGAAAAATTGTACTTCTGACGTTTCGGGACTTAATGTACGCCACTTTTTCAGAGTAAATAAAATCCGAAAAACTGGCTTATATTAAGTCGCGAAACACCAGAAACACAACTTTTCTACTTATTGGGATATAACAAAAATATATTCATTATTAACTCTCTACCCAATGGTTAAATTATATGAAGCTATCAAATCCAACCTTGGTATGGATACCTATAAACTCTTTAAAATATTGTATTAAATAACTTGTAAGTTAGCAACAAAATTTTAATATTACAGTGGCTTTGATTAAATCCGTTTCAAATATCTCATTTTTCATCTTTGCCTGGTTCCAACTTATGCTTCTCGATCATGAATTGTAAAGTCAAGAATGGGATACTGCATAAAACAAGTAAGCTTACTGTTTTACATTGACTTTTCTACAAACAACTGCATGAAAATGAGATAATTTGCTATTTCAAAATTTATCAATTAAGCTAAATTTAAGAAAGGAATTATTTCCATTACGTTTTATTATGATTGAATAAACAGAATTGATTACTCAGTATTCCAGCATCATGATTTTTTCTCTTGATTATAACAGTTAAGAATTTTAAATTAATATAGAACAAGCTCATTTAGCTGACATATTACATTACCGGTCATAATAAAAATAACGTAGAAACTTGAGACATACGTGCATCAGTTCAACTTACTTCAATTTATTATCGTGGTGAAATGAAATAATTAATTCCCGAGTGACAGAAATGCTAACAGTATTAGTTGTAGGGAAAACACTGAGCGAAAATGATATGATTCGAGAGTAGAAAAGTACAAGATAATTTTAAAACTCAAGATTTAAGGGAGGACAAAAGTTAAAGTATCTGTGCCATTGCTACCGACTCTGAGATGCGTCACCTAGTCTAGCCTAACCATTTGTTATGATAATATCAAAAACCCTAACCTAGTAGTATACACCTACCAGAATCGTCCAGTTCAATAGTCAATGACTCAACATTACTAACTCTGATGTAAATAAATATATACTTGAATTAGAATATTTGTAAAAATAACCAAGTAAGTGATTGTTTTGTCAATTAGCAATATGTATATGATAAACCATATTCATTTACTGAAAAGCAACTAGAACATATATTAACTCGTAAGCATTGACAAATTTTTAACATTTTACTATTACCACGGAATTATTGCCATTATCTAATTTTTATCCTGAATTTAATTGAGGTAAGTTATAAAAGAAAGTAAGGGGACTATATATTTCAAACAGGATTTCTTTTTCCACCAAACAAAAATAACGAAACCTCAACTTGTTAGAAAAATATTTAAAACCGTGAATTTTTGGCCAGTGGTGTGAATATGTTTCTCTTTCTAAACTTATTGATGAATTATGGATTATTTATCCTACTGACCGAATCTTATTTACAAATACGGGTGTATACATTTAAATTTGTTTGAATTTGGATTTTTTACGAAGAATAATAAATAAAAAGCAGCAGGACAAAAAGTCACTTTTCAACAGTTTAACAGAAGTTAAAGTAACAAATATAAAATACAAAAGGTTTTGGGCTACGGCGTCACTTTTCATGGGAGGAGGAAATAAAAGAATAAATAAATTAGCGGAATAATTGCCATTAGTGATATAACCTAAAGTACACACTACGACTAAGCTGTAAATCATACTCCTGAAGGCTCGCTCTATACCAATTTTAACCTAATAACGTCGTATTCCCGCGTATGGCATATAGTCTAACAACTTTAGCTCACATGGGTTTTGTATAAATTTACTATTTGTCGATCATAAGCAACGTAGAAACTGGAAAAAATGTGCATCGGTCCTAGCTTTTAGGTCACATTGTGGTGTATGTTACTTCTATCTGTCGACATAAGTAACATGTAACACCAACCAAAAGTGAAAAACCTGGCAGCAGAAAGTTGGGATGATCGAATCGAAGAGAACGGGAACAGAGAGTAGCTGTTATGGCAATGAAGGAACGATGAAGTTTGAGACAATTGATGGAGGATTTGCAAATGAATTACTATACATATGGTTTTCACATTTAATGAAAGAACTCCGTAATTTTCTATCAAAATACAACTGATTGTCCCCACCTGTGCTCTCGTCGACAACAACATCGGTACACCGAGATGAAACTATCAACATGAATATCAAAGTAGTAGTGGTAATTGTATCGGGTGATAATAAGACAGATTGAGTGTATGGAAATATGATTCCAGTACGAAGAATGAATTCACAGAACAAAAAGTATGATACATGAAGCTGTGATACTCAGACGACAAAAGTTACTTTAAAAACCTTTCGACAAAGATAGACTTAAACAATACATATATAAATCGTACGATGTGTGGCGTGTAGTTAGGACCTTTAAATCCTAAAGTGATGTTCTACACCGAGGCGCATGCACAAATCCCAACAGTGACAAGTTCAAATTGACTATCCACTTCACTAATCTCAGCAACAACGCTGTAAAGGTATTGATGCAAATGTGGAAATCTTAGATGACATTTACTGATTCCTGTATTTTTCTAAAGCTTATTTAAGCTAAAATGAAGCAACATGACTGACATTGCAAGATATCAGTTTAATCAAATGAGATTCTGTATTCCCTACTGGAAACGGTTGAAAGGTTTTTGATAAACCAGTCAAATGAGAATAAATGAAAAGAACCTTCCGCTTACATGATACAATAATTTGAGACTGTTCTGACTAAAAGCCAAAATATTTCAAACTAAGACCAAAGCTTGGTCTCATTAAACAAGTGGCTTAGGGTTTCTTTGATTAAATCCTCTTCAAATATCTCATTTTTCATCTTTGCCTGGTTTCAACTTATGCTTCTTGACCATGAATTGTAGATTCAAGAATGCGATACTGCATAAAACAAGTAAGACTACTGTTTTACATTGACTTTTCTACAAACTGCATGAAAATGAGATTACTGGATAAAACGTTTCGCCATTTATTCCGAACTAAGTTATCTTAAACAATGGGTGGATTTCAGAACCAACGTAAGACAGAGTTTTACTGGTAAGTACCAATGAAATCTTTTAATACCGATCTATGTAAACAATAATATTCTACATAAATTCCAAAGGCACGGTGTATATTGCTGATAACCAAGTAACAATAAATATAATCTTACAAGAAAGTTTAGATGTGTAAACCGATCAGCTACACGCAATAATCCTCTGCAGGCATGTGTGTCTGCAAATGCTCGAATTCCAAGACAATTAGATGGATCCAACTGGCGCTTTAAGAATTCACAGCAAACATCTTGGATTTCTGTAAGTTGCAAGAGACAGGCAGCTGGAAGCAGATTTTGAACATTACATTCTTCTACTGTTATTTGGCTAGTGTAACAGAAATCTATGAGAGTTTCTACAGCATCGCCATCTAGATCGTAGAGAGTTACCTAAATCAGTGAGGAACAAAATTGAAATTTGTAGTAAAGTTAATGGACCGTCTGCAGAAATAAACTTTATCATAAAATTAACGACTAGCAAAGCCTTAAGTACCATGTATCCATAAGACTTTTAGAGCAAATAAATACTAGTTATATTACTTTGAGTCAGAATCCACGTCTTATCAACAACATGAAATTTCTTCTGCAACCTGCATCAGCCAATGATGATATTATCTGTTGGTTTAAATGTCACAAGGTGTGATCAGGCTTAAATCTGTGAATTTAACCGAAAACTGACCATGTAAATCACGGATCCGTGTTTCTTCAGTCTAAGACTCTGTTGAGTATCGAAGTTACTCAGTATGTCACTCAACTACAACGTAGGACCAGGTATGCATATGCATCAGTTCAAGTTTCCATACCTCATAAGCACAAAAAGATAAACACAATATTCATAGAAGCAGTTACTTCAATGGTAGTAATATATATATGTATATATATATATATATATATATATATTACTGGTTGCAGTAAAAATAGTCAGAAAGCGTCAAAGTAATAATACCTCCGTTTGTCGAGATTCCGCTAATTCTCCAGTGAACATCGCTCTAAAATAAGCGGAACAGGCAGCCAACACAACACGATGTGTGTAAATTTCGCGACCATCAACCAGCAACACTACATCACATAATTCTTTATTTTACGAAAACGATTCATAGCTTCGAACGAACTAATAGGATGACGTTCAGCAGTATATGCCAGACGATCATTAGATTGTTGAACAACACTCGATTTTGTATTGTTAGCGGACGACGCAACGTATGAATTCTGAACACTATTCATTAACCCATCTCCCAATGAACAACAACGAGATACAAGATTATTAGATTCACAAAAATTGACACGTTCATGCAGGGAATTAAGCATCCTATTGTCACTTGCACAAATATCACTTCGAATGGTACCTGTTACAGACGTAGATGAATCAACATATGACGACCGGATGTTGCTCGAATCACCCACTGAGACATTTATACTATCAGGTATATCTGTACTTAATCGTTGTCCATGGTAAACAGAGGAACCACCATTTCTACTGTTTGGATGAATATCGACATCCATTGGTAGCATAATTAAAAATTTAAATCATGATTATTCTATAATAGGAAAGTGGATAAAAAATAATCCAATAAACATGGGAAAATGATATGTATGAACGATTAATATGGACATACTGAAACAAAGAGTGATGAAATTACTTTTCTTAAATTCAGAACCTAATAGGTCGAAGTAGGTTATCGTTTTGTCATGGCACCAGAAAGCACTTAGTCTGCTTTTAAATGATACTTGAACCAGTATCCAAGACTGACTCCATGTATCAATTGGTGACATCTTTTAATTACTCTGACAACTGATTTGGAATACATTTAACTGCGGGTCTTCTAATTGGAGTTAAGAGAAAACCATTATTAAGAACTCTAATTTTTTTTCTCAAACCTAGTATGCATTTTTCACTTGACCATATACTACACTTTCTAATATATCGTATACTGTTTCTAATTTAATGTTTTTCCCTTGACAGTTTTGTCTTAACGCATGGACTAAAATTGGACTAATGCACGTTGCTGTGCAGGATTGTAAGTTATTTATATATGCATATATGTACTGATTTTATCCGCAAAATAGCTAATAATATCTCTGCGGTAGGAACTATGAGGTAATCATGTATGTATAGAGCAAATGATTGCTACGCTCTTCATTTCTTTGTACTTTACATACTTTCACTTATTTTTTATAACGATCCAAAGACACGGCTGAATAAAGCACCTTAAGTCATAAAAACACTTTCTTCAGTTAAATTATAAGACAGACATTGGGAGGTTGTGAAATTGGCCTTGCAATGACGGTAAAGCTAAAGTATACAGGTAAACAACCCTGAGATCTTAGATAAAATCAAACGACAAAAATTATGATTGACTGGTTTTTACAAAAACTAACTAAGAGTATAAGGTTTTACATGAATAAGGAACTTTATGAAGTTGGCTATAGACTGTTAGTTTTCATATTACAGGTTTATATTACATGTACCATAGCTTCTAGCCCAAAAATCTTAGGCCCAACACTAACCATCGCTCCTACTTCAAAACGTTAATTCCGATGTATACCTACAATTAAACCAGATCATATCCTTAATACTAACCTGTTATATATTGGGATGTAACACTATTTCGTACATCTACGCACTAATTATTGATTGGTAATTAATTACAGACATTTCACTCCTGCTTCGACATATAACAGCAACCATAAACCTCTTAAGAATGACCTTACATTACTGACTAAAACTAAATATAGCATGGTCGATAGGTTTGCCTTTAATCACTTATCTTGTTGCATGATCGGGACATCTCAGTAGACATAGCAAGTGGGTAGAAAAGCCACGAACGAACAAACTACCCGTGACATACAGGTTTTCACACCGAGTAATCAACACTTGGAACCTTCTGCCCGAAGCAGTGGTGTCCGCAACTTTGACTGACTCATTCAAGGGAAAACTAGACACTCACAGAAGCATACTAGAAAAGGAACAACACAAGCCGTAAACCTTCTGTCCTTACAACACAAATCTCAACCTAAAATAGGCTAGCTATACATTTTATGAGCAAAGACTAACGGCTAGGGCCGGTAGTCAGTTTGACAAATAAGAAGTTGGGCCTCACATACCGAAGTGGTATCAGCTAAAATGCAATAAGTCTCCGAATCAAAATCAAGCAAACATCCGAGTAGCACTACCTGAAATCCAGCTGACTGGTTTTTATACTTCATTTTTATCAATGTTTTTTACACCGTAAGGAAGTGACTTAATAATGATTGAAATATAGAAATATATTGCGTGGTCCTACTCGATAGCATAACCGACCTCCTGTAGCGCACACCTTATAATAGAGCCTACGCTAGATGCTCAATATCCATATTTAAATGTTTTCATGAAATAATGTCAAATAACCAGGTGCAGTTCCAGTCTCGCCATTGAAAAGCCCTTTCAAAGACTCTTATATCCTAATATCTGAAGTGATGAAAACTAAAGTTCTTATTCTCAGTTCTTCGCATGTGCGCGCTATTTTAAAAGAACAGTTGTAACGGGTGAAAATCATCATGTATGGTGTTGTTAACAGATTCTCTCTTCCTTTCTATTGTAGACCGACCAACGATGAATGCTTTCGAAAAAGAAGAGCAAGCCTTGCATACACTGAACCTACAAGAGGACTCATAAGACCATTTCATAAACTAGCTTTCCATTCTGTACATGACCAGCGAAAATTAATTTTCAAAATAAAAGACTCGTGACTTTGATTCCATGTTCTCTCTTGGTGTGTAGCTCTCGGTTAACATTGTGTGTGTTGTGGCTTCAGGTCTTCTCCACCTTTCAGTGACTGCTGATTATACGTATTACATAGTGGTATTGATTCTCGTTGGGCTAAATTTAATGTTTTCGCCTTAAAGTACGACTTAAAACTACTGTTAACGTTTTAATTGAATCTATTTCAGTTGAAGTGATATTGTAATTGTGTGTTTTGATTTTGCTTTTGTGTTGCATTAAAGCATACTTGGTCGACTTTGACTTAACATATTTAGTTGAAGTTTGGGTTTTCACATATCTATTTTGTGTTACCATTTTTCGTTGATCTTCCGGATGGTCGGCTCTTCTCACAAATGTGAAAGGCCACATCGAATATTCCCTGTGGAAGAAGGAATGCAATGTGATGAGTGTAAGATGTGGATCCATAAGATATATACCAGATTAAGTCCCACTGCATATAAAAGATGTTCAAAGCCTAATTCTCATTGGCCCGAACATCTTTTTGTTCAAGCAAACCAATACTCATCTGGGAAGCAATTAGCTTCCTGGTGTTGCCCAATAAAAAGGTTGACGAGTGCTGTACTGGTAACAAGTGTACTGTGGAGATAGGCCTGACAAGCCTATTTTGTAAATAGTTTTTAATATTATCTGTATTTATTTTGTCAACCTTTCACTGTATGTATAGTTAACATTAACTAACTGTAACTGTTGTTTTAGTAAATGAATTTGAACACACTTTCCGTTGTAATACTGACATAGCGTGACATACTCTTGCTGACTAACAAATACACTACTACTCACACATTCCTAGTTCTAACTTCGTTTGTGATTGAGCTAACTGAAGTATAAATCAAGTATTATCTACATTTATAAACTGCAATTGGAAGATATCACATCCTACGTTGGATTATATCACTGGAGAGTTCGTCAACCCGATTGGAATTACCAAGCACTTATAATTGTGGACTTACTGTCCCAGACTAAAGCTGAACACGCATCAATTTGGTAAACTTAAGTAAAGCCCTGACTTTCTATTGTGTTTGTAATAATTAACTTATATATATTAACATTACTGTTGATCTTTATTAACTTTGTTGATACTTTTTGCGTTTATATATCGTCTGGTCCACCACAGCACTGATGGCGAAGATTGTGTCATGTTGTAACTGCTGTTACTTGCGAAATGTAACCTATGGAGGCCGACAGTAGTCTGTTTTTCAGTAGAGACACTAAAGTCACGTATTCGGAAGTTTCTTATTCCATAAGTTCAAATAATATAGCATCAGTGTAGTCTGGCAAGCTTATTTATGTTTACGATGAAGAAGTGACTGTCTTTGGTCCATTAGAATGTCACATTTTTTCATGATGGAGTCCTAGGAAGTCACTTGGACTGCCCCGTCCGGCAACGAATTCCTGAACTTGACTGTTGATACTAACACCAAGTACGTGTTTATGAGGGGGACACAGGAGTGTTTAGAATGCCATGAGTCATTAAATGGTCAGCTGTGAGGCGTCAATACTGTTATGCATAAACACTCAGCTATTTCTGGTGCTTTATAAGTTTTTGATTTGAAGCTATGAACTGACTTCGTGTCTCGCCTTTGGGTGTGCTTCAGTGTAATCTCATCCATTTAGAGTGGGAGAGGAAGCACTATTTGCCCATACTCAAAAAGAGTCCAATAAAACTGTTGAAGACTTAGTGGAAAGTTCTACTGTCGAGCTGTCCAAAAATGCGCCTCAACGTTATTAGTGCAAGGTTTCCTCGGAAGGCAATTTTTTCGCAGTTAAGATTTTAGATTATGAGGTACTTACATTCCCAGATATTTTAACTTGTGGTACCTTTAGTGGACACTTATCTAAGTTGTATTCGTAGTCTGCAACGTGTCTCGGATGGACTACTTCACATTTTCAAGTGTTAAAGATAAGTTCATTGTTGCCCACCCGACTTTGAAGTCAGGTTGGATTCTTCTGAAGTGCCTGGTTGTAAATTCCCCCCCACAGAGTTTCACATAATCGTCGATACCCGCTGCGAATAATCGTTCATATAAATTAGGAAATTAGAGGTTCTAATATTGGACTTTAGGGGATCCTACAAAGACACCCTAAAAAGTTGGTTATTTAGAAATAAAAGAAGCTAATCTATGGATGGTGTCAACGGAGATGAAGTATCGAACAATTCATTTTGTTGAGCGGTGCCGGCATCCCGTTTTCTGACGTCAGTACCACCATATTTCGACTGTTCATGGTGGACGTGTGGGACTAGCACCTCGTGGTTGGAACACAAAGTCAGAGAGAATATCCAACAAAAGTACGAAGACATTTATTCTTACGACTGTTGCTTAGGCAGTTGGAATTGACATCATGCCATCATTGTTACAATAGTGAATGAACTAGTAATTGTTGGACGGATAGATCGCAGTATCACTGTTCACTCATTGGTTCTGGTTTAGCAGTTGAAGGTAGTTGATCATACTATATTTCATTCTCTATAAAGAAGTCGGCATTTCCACCGCGTTAAGTGGTGACTTGATACATAACCATTTGAGCTTACTGATGGAACACATATTATTGATCCCATCAAACGTTTTCAAGAAGTCAACGTTTAATACCTCAAACTTCCTGTTGTGATCAGGGTTGATTGTCCATCTATCCACTACAGTCAACATGCTGGTTATGCAAAAGTGGTCCATCCTGAAATCATGATGTTGGCGTAAGAACAAGTTTATAGATAACGACAAGTTACGTAGACTGTCACGTATCAAGGACTTTTTTTCGCAAACCTGTTAGGAT